TAGAAGTGGAGGATATAGGGGCCAGAGGGGCAGACGACAGAGCGAGTCCAATGATCGGAGAAAAACAGACCAAGAAAACAAAAAACACACCATTCTATGTCGTCGTCCCGACTAAAGCAGAGAGATCCATTACAGAGAAAACTGATAGCTTTACAAGAGGACATCAACGCAGTAGTAGTTTTTTAGCAAGCCTACGAACGCATATAGGATATCATGAGGATTGTCATTGGTTTTATTTCAAGTTGAAGATGAGATATTTTTACGATGTAAGTGACAGTAGAAATAAGTCCTACATATGTTGTTGTACTTAGTATTGGTTTAATATTCATGTAGAGTATGAGACATCTAGTGAAAGTTTTTTGAGGTCCATCTGCAATTTTAATTATTTATTTTTATTTTTTTTGCCTTCCGACAATTAATTGCAGATGTACCTCAGAAAACTTTCACTTAATGTCTCATACTCTACATGAATATTAAACCAATACTAAGTACAACAACATATGTAGGACTTATTTCTACTGTCATTTACATCGTAAAAATATCTCTTCTTCAACTTGAAATAAAACCAATGACAATCCTGATGAATTGTCGCAAGGCAAAAAAAAGAGAGACATGAATTGAGCAAAATGCAGGTGATGATATACATATTTTCTCCCATGATTGGACTCTGTCGTCTGCCCCTCTGGCCCCTATCCTCCACTTCTACTAGCTAGACGACCCAACCGGGGTCACACAGGATAATTTGTAGTCTATCTAATAGCTATCTATGTGTTCCGAGCCGAATTACGAGAGCCAGTTGCGTCTCCTCATTTATTTCCGGAAGAAGACATAATTCTCGGAATATCCTGCAAGTTGCCGTTCCTCTGACATTTTTGGGAGAGGTGAGATGCTTGCCCGCGCAGTCGCACACAAATACTATTGCAAGTTAGAAGTGTTGCACAGCCGCAGTCCCTAGCACACGATGGGCACATACATGATGACTGGTGCATAAATAAAGCGTACCATGTCGTAGTAAGCAGACATGTATGTGCGGACTATTCATATAGACTAGACTACATGTGGGTAATTGTAAGCAGGAGTTTTTTTATCACCTCTTGTGGCCAGGATGGCTAATTCGATGGAAGTGTCACAAGGTTCTTTGTAGAATCGACTCAGTCAGGTGTTCGCAGGACTGACATTGTGTCCATGGGAAAATGTCCAAGTCAGGAGAAAAAGTGTGCACCCAAGGAGATTCGAACCAGTATCCAGCTGACGCCATATTCGTGTCGACTTGAGAGTTGGCGCAATCCCGCCGCTTCGCTTTCAGGCGCCGAACGGAGGCCTGCGGTGCGCCCTCGGCCTGAGCGAAAATTCCCTACCTCTAGACTATGTTGTAAGCACCGGAGAGTCTCCCCGTTCGAGAAATATTTCTCACCATCGCCGAAGAAATCGGATGTTGCTCCGATATTCTGGGCGTAGCATGTTGTGTAAAATTATAGGCTCTCATTTCCTGCTACGCTCAACGCCGTCCCTGTGGTATTCGGCGTAGGCGCAGCAGCCGAACATAGTGTCGGACCCCAGCTGTTTGGATAGATCACTCCGATAGTACTGGTTGGCTGGCAAGCCCGAAGCCCGAGGTTCACCCGGACGCGGACCTGAGCGTGAATGTGAACGGATTTATTTGTCTGTTTCGTCGAAGAACTGGATTGGAGCCGTACTGTACAAATAGATCCTAGGTCGTGTGTACACAGAGCGAAGAGAGTGCTGAATGAACTCTTCTCGCATTAAAAATCGAAGGCAAAGTACCGCAGGAGGACAGGGTAGAGAGGGACTCTTGTGTGTGACCACGGGTTGGAGTAAACAGCACTAGTGCTGTGAGCGCTGATTTGAAGTGAAGACCAAAAAAAAAAAAACATCAGGAAGGAGGCACCCTTTTCATCCTTTCATTCCGAAGAATAACAATATTTCACAGTCGGCCAGGGGGCAGGGAAGCAAGAAGATCGAATCCGTGATCAAATACAGCACGAGCGCCACCCCCGTCGTCTTATAACTCCTCCTTCTCCTCCTCCTCCTCTCACTCTCAAGCTACAAAGGAACGACACCCATAGAACCCTTCTCGCATTAAAAATCGAAGGCACAGTACCGCAGGAGGGCGGGGTAGAGAGGGACTCTTGTGTGTGACCATGGGGTGGAGTAAACAGCACTAGCGCTGCGAGCGCTGATTTGAAGTGAAGACAAAAAAAAAAACATCAGGAAGGAGGCACCCTTTTCATCCTTTCATTCCAAAAAATAACATTATTTTACAGTCGGCCAGGGAGCAGGGAAGCAAGAAGATCGAATCCGTGATCAAATACAGCACGAGCGCCACCCCCGTCGTCTTATAACTCCTCCTTCTCCTCCTCCTTCTCTCGCTCTCAAGCTACAAAGGAACGACACCCATCCATCCCATCCCGACTCTACGGTTTGCAGGTAAGCATCTACTGTACCATTTCTACCCAATCTGCGGGAAGATGATATAATCTAGTCTAGTGGCGAAGGAAGAAGGCGATGTCCTTCGTACCATAGTCTAACCTGCTGACCATCACCAACCGAGGTTGGTTGTTGTTGTTGTTGACTTCACATTAAACCGTATGCCAGTTGCTAAATGCCAAAATCTAGCAAAGACTCTCAGCCCGTGGTCACGAAAGTGCTAGAGCCATCTGAGGATCTAAAGAACACGCACACGTAGCAAGAAAAAGGTATCCAAGAGCCCGAAG